AAATTCGGAATAATGAAATTCCATTGTGGACAAATGTGAATTACATATATCCCCGATTATGGATCCGCGGAGAGGCGACGTAATCGAAAAACGGACGTAAATCATATCGCGAATCTGCGCAACGCCGTACGCACACGATCGTCCATAAATATACCGGTGGCCGAATAAAAATCCGTACAACAGCACAGCAGAAAACGGTGTCGGCTTCAGGGAGGGTATCGATGCGGCCCCCTCGGCATGAGCTATCCACGTCGAGTTTATCGGTCGTTCTATGCAAGAGATTTGAAAAAAACGATTTATTCGGAAATATGTCGGCTTTATATATCGTTATGGAGCATACAAGCGGGAAACGACATCGTGCCCTCCACCACTCTTTCTCCCCTTGCGACCCCCGTACTTTACTGTCCCCGCTCGTCCCGCTCGGTTCGCATACATTGGGAATATTTATTTTTATTACGGCCACCTCTCGCGCTACTGAGTCAACAGATTTCTTGTCACCGCACCGGTGCGAATCGATTCTGACGCGTTCGCGGCCCCGGCGCTTCCGGAAATTAATAAATGGAAACTTTGAGTTACTTCCTCCATTCTTTTCTGATCCCGCAATGTCCATACGTCCTATAAGAAAGCAAATTCAATATTTCGGGACTCGTGCATTTTTTAAGTGGACGGAATGTTTGTTAATATTATTTACTTGTCGTTATAAAAGATAGTCCTAAATAATTAAAGAAAATAATTAAAATAATGTACAAGACACACGTATATACGTTGTGTCGAAAAAGATTAATTTTATTGCAGGCTAAAAAGAGATAAAAGTTTGTGTTATACTTTATACGTCAAAGTATTAACGAGAATATTTGCAAATCAAAAAATTCAGATAAAAATTATGAAAAGGCTAAAATTATTATAGAATGAAGATAACTAACATTTTAATCTGCCTGAAATAATTAACCCATTGCAGATCGACAATTCTGAATTTCTGTGTTCAAATAACAAAATTCGATAAGCAATTTTATCCTTCTTTAAAGCGCTCGTTTAAGTTCTCGCGTACTCGCATTATATCGCTTTAATATTTTCGAGAAGGCATCCCTTACGAAGTTGGCGGCCACTAGCGAGTCCAGTAAATCTTACCCCCCCCCCCTCTCCTGCCGAGGAGCCGTGCCACCCCCGAAGCCACCCCCGACCGCCTAGCCATTCTTATTCCCTCGTTACTCGCAGCTTCGCTCGAGGCGGCTCTCTCCTTATTATATCGTCTTTCCACGCCATAAAATCGGAAAAGAATTTCGCCCCCCAAGACAATAGAAACTAATAAATTTGATTACTGATTACACCCGCGAATTTTCGAGAGAAGGCGCGGTCCTTAATGCACGCCAAATCCACTCTACCGTCTCTACAAACCACCCCCGTGCTTTAAACTTTACTTTCTCATTAAAATTTTTTCTGTACGATATAGCGCGTATTTTACGGTAGCAAGTCTGATGTGATAATACGCGATTATTAGTACATCCGTCGAAAAAGAATTAAGCTTTGAGATATAAAGATATTATGAATATCATATTAGACTCGCTTCTCGACGTAGCGATGTAAATGGAATATTAGATAATAAAATCAAAATATTTAATCATAATGTAACATAATTTACAGTATATTATTTTTTGCAAATTGCTTCGTCGCAATTACAGCAAATCGGAGCTTTAATTCGAAACAAATTGGCACCTAAATTGAACGACACGATATAATTTTAGCAAGTTACGATTAGCGAATGAAATCTTTATATCTTTTATATCTAGCGGAGCATATAATATTATTGTAGAAGAGTACGGCACAGCTACGGTAGAGATATTCCGTGTTATCGCTCCGGCAGTAACGTCTTACGTTAGCTTATATATTTACTCAGGGGAGGTAGGTAGGTATTTTCCGGCAATGCTGGAAAACGAAAGCGGTAGTAACGCTATCGTCGAAGTTAGATAACGGTCGAGGAGAAATCGTAACGGGAGGACTGGGATGGGTTTTTGGGGTGTGCACAGTTTAAACTTTCCGCGACCCTAAATCTCCGGGACCCGGCTTATGCTTCGTAATATCATAATATCGTAATATCGCGAGAGCGGTTTGGTATAATTAAAGTGGAAGTGTCTTTAAAATAGCCGCAGGTGATTGCGGTAAGAAGCCACCCCACAATCTTTCCGCCGCTTTGCGCTCCTCCCACTTTACAAGCGCCAACAATAACCGATGTAGAAACTGCCTAATGTGTACAAAACGTATCTTTCCTTGAGAATACATAATGGGGAATAAAGTTGAACTTGATCAATCAAGGCTTGATAATTATTATTAAACGAAACTCAATTACATTAGGCACTTTTAAGTAGAGTAAAGCTACCAACTTTTTCAAAACGTTAGACACCGTATCTACATTTACTTGAACATTAGATATCACATCTGTTATTAATTTTCGAATTTTGTCGTCTGCAAAATATACCAAAGTTTTTTAATAAAAAAAAATGTAGTGACAAATCTCGATTACGTTCTTCTTCATGTGGTACACTATATAGATATGACACGTGCACGAAAGAAATCATTTCTGGGATTTATAGCATTTTATAAACATGTCAACAACACTTGTTTAAATAACGCGTATAGAATATTGAAAAAAGTTCCATTAATTTTAGTTTCATTATTCTTTGAAATAACATTCTAACAGTTTTAAATTATGCAGACATTCATTTACGCTAGGGAATAACTTTACACAAAATATGTTTAAAAAATTTATAAAAATGGAAGATTAATAAAATTATATTCACAATTTATAAATTTAATTTAAATTGACCGTATATATTATATATTTCAAATTTTATTTAATTTTCTGGCCGTATAATATACCGTATCGCTGTAGTATTACATGCAAACGAAATATCTCCCTTGAACGAAGAGTATGCTGCTTGTCAGCTACAGATGCTTAAGCTGATATATTTCAACCCCTACATTCTGCTTTTTTTGATTTTCTGTTGGTAGGCAACAAACAAGATTTAAACACAGCTTCGCCGGTTTTTATATCCCTTTCATCCGCTCGTCCAACATGTCAGTAAAATGGTCAATATTAGAGAGCGTCCGCAATACATCATGACATAATCTTACTAGTAGATTCAATTAACTTCGACCAAACATAAAAAAAAAGTTTTAGGGGAAAAATTGTGTTTTACATATATATCTTTCAAAATAATTTTTCATGTAGAAAATATTTTACTGGAAAAAATTAAGTTAATGTATTTTTAAAATTGTTGTTCTTCCGGTCCAATAATAATTATGTGGCACTGTAATATCTATCTCCACTTCTTAATACAACAACAATTTTGAATTCAAATAAAATATTTCTACGTTTTAATATTAAAATTCTGATGATTAAATTATTAAATAAAATTTTATTTAAAAATATTATACTGTTAGTAATATTATGCTATAATAAAATGTGTATTATTTAAAAATTGCGTATTAAAAGAAACGAAAGAGTGTTATATCTAACGTTACCATTGGGCAGGGTTGGGAAAGTTACTTTATGAAAGTATCTTTACAGTTACAGTTACATTTTTTTCGCTAAAAATGTAATTAGTTCTAAAAAGTAACGCGTTACAGTTACATTTACTCAAAAAGTAACGAATTGTTACTTTGCAGTTACTTTCTTGCAATAAAAATAAAAATATGAAACCTGTATTTCAATTGAAAAGTGTTGATAAAGGTGTTTATGCGCAAAGGCAAGGTCTAATGCGATCTGTGGAGGTTTAATATATATATAAAGTATAGCTATTAATGTAACTGTTAAACTAGTTATCGAAAAAATATAACTGAGTTAAGTTACAGTTACAGATGGAGAGAAAATAACGAAGTTATGTTAGCGTTACCAAAAAAAAAAGTAACTGTAATTGTAACTTGGTTACAAATAACGAGTTATGTACTTTCCAACCCTGCCATTAAAATATCATCCTGTACAATAATTACATTTATTTAAAATTTGCATCATAAACTATTATAATTTTGTCTGAAAGTTTCAATAAAAAAAATACTTGAAAAATCAAGGAATTCTCAGAGAATTTTTTTTTCGAGAAATGAGTAGACGCCTGTCGTACTTTCGGAAGATATAAATTGGAAGATAATTCAAAGTTTATATAATTACCTACAATTAGTTAATGGACTTATTTTTTTATTGTATTTACTGATGGCAATGGAAAATTTGTGCGGCTTATGTCTACGCAATAGAAACCTCGTTTACCAGCTATCGCATGAACCGAAAAACGTACTATCGACGTTAGAAAAAGTAGAATATATAGTATTATAACGTATAAGTGCCCAGCAAACCATAACGTAACTGTTACATAACTTAGGAAGCACATAAAGAAAGCAATGCTATATTTCACAGTTATATAGAAGAAATGAAATTATTACATAACATTGACAGCACATTAGAAGAACAAAAAGCAACAATACTGCATAGAGCGCCAAGGTTTTTTAATAAACAATAATGTAAGGACCGATATGTATTCAACAATTAAATTAGAACAGGCCATCTTTTAATAAAATGTTTATTTGTATTAAAGTTATTTGCATTATATTTTTATTGAATAAGTATTTATAATTTGTCTCATTGTCCTTTAAGATTTCTACGCACTTGTAGACAAAAGTACAAGAAAGCTCATTTCAGCACTTCAAAAAGATGACCAAATGTTACTTTACTGTAACATTACTTGAAAAGGTATACGTATGTTACATAAATGATATATTTGACAGTCTCATTTCTGTACTCATATAGCAACCACGCATATCTTGAGAGACATATTTCTTTGTAGCAACATGCCTAACTGGGCCTAATGGCATTTAACCACATGCCATATGCCAATTTTATGCTGTAATATACACTTGAAAAGGGCCAAAACCCATGGCCGAAACGTTGTGTGACAATAAAGGATGTTTTCCTGTAGCCAGTTGTGTTGGAAAATAGAAATTAAACAACGTGATTCTTTACTTTAGTTATTTATAGGTATAAAAGTTCAGAAAGTCTTTCACAATGACATGTACTTTTACGTATTATCCAAAAAAGATGTATGCATTCTTATCATAACTTAACCACCAAAATTATTATATTAATATTTCCCCGTAGAGGGGAAAACGAAAAAGTATTAATATTGACGTAATCCACCACGTCTAACAGCTGGTTGCATCATCCTATTCGGCGGCGTTATTGATATGTCCAGATAATCTCCTATCGTGAACCTGTAAGTGTACAAGATACGCGCATAATTATGCGTAATTATTTATTAAAAAGACGAAATCACTTTTCCTAGTTGGTTTATTACCAACCTTGCTTGAGCAAGCGTTTTATTATCATCTGCGCCTTTCTGTCCGGAACACGTGACGCCAATTTCACGCATGCGATAACCGGAGTTGCGTAGCTCAGGAGTCACTAATGAAAAATCAAAATACGTCCCCTTGCTGCGAGCGTCCGGATTCACTTCTTTAACTAAGCCTGTAATTTCTCGCAAAGTTGCATCCATCCTTCGTACACAGAAATAATTAAAATTAGAAATGATTTGTTATTCGTTAGTAAGAATTGACATAAAGTTAATAAGAATCGTAACAAAACAGGATCTTAATATCTTATATCTCCTCTGTTATAAGCAATGTTGATGCTACCATGTGTATATCTGCAGCTCGTTCGAAGGAACGTTCCCTCTGCTGTACTCCATTATATTATGATGACGTCCGGTGTTGCAAAATACTCGCAGTAGAAGTGGACACGTCTGAAATGCAAACAGCTGCAACGTCATCGCATTTACGATTAAAGAATCAGTTAAGTTTATGAGATTAGCATGAAAAGCACTTGCTATGGTCTCTTAATAGTAAAACACCCTGGTGCAGTATTGGAAACTTCTTATTCACTGAATGTTAAATAAGGATAAACGATGCGTTATGCGCATCATGCGTGAAACGGAACACACTGTCTTATTAAACCCGTAGGTCTGTTCAGCAATATTGATGCAATATTACATTCATATTATATCGAGAAATCTTGGCCAGTGCACTGTCAATATTATATAATTATTGTCGCGCAACATCTACATTTATTCCGAGGGATAAACCGCTGAGAGCATTGTAGCGTACAGATTTGCAGCATTACTGGGCATTGGTTTTGGCATTAAACCTTGCTGGGACATTACAAAGGTAAAATAAGTTAAACCAAAATAAATAAGATAAAGTAATGCCTACTGCGCACTAGTGGGCATTGGTGTACACGATTGTGAGTCAACGAGATAATATGTGGCTCCGTGTGAACACATGATTAACGATAGAGTTCGATTCCCGCCCTCGTCCCACGTATTTATCGTTTAGGAGAAAGTTTCTCATTAGCTGAAACACCAAGCATTGGTTCAAGAGAAAATAAAGAAAAAAAGTGCGAAATGTCCAAGAGAAAAGTGACCCTGCGCTATACAATTCAAGCGTGAAGCTGAAGGCGCTGTTAACTCCGGCGTTAAACGGAGAAATTGTAGAATAAAATACAAATTTGGATCAATGTTTAGCGAATGCGTCGCGCTACCCGAAGTCTTCGCTCTTCGCCGTCCTCACCTTTTCTCTGTCCACCGGCTTCTCGGGAAGCTGTTTCTCGTCGACCACCATTGATTCCAGAGCCGACGTCATTTCAGTTGGCGAATAAAGCAGCTGGCAATTGAAAATTGCGGAAGAATCCTTCTCTCCGGAGGAACGTCCAAGTCGCGCGATCGCCCGGCACCGTCTGATAAAAATGGCGAATCCGCGTCGCCGGAGAGGTTATGTTTGCAGAGGTTAAAGGCCGTTTCCATGAAACCCCCATCGGCCGCGCGTGGATATTCGAAATGAGTGTACGAGCGATAGCGTAATGGAGATTTCCACGAAGGTCGGGGCGATCGTTCGACAGATGTGATGTATGTACGTACAATTATACGCGGCGTAATGAGAACAAAGTAATAATCGAGCAAGATTTTACTGGAATCTCTCTGGCTGAGATGAGACGTGGCCTTGAACACAAAGCGTCCGGCTCGAGCGAGTCGCTTCCCAGACCAATCTGCCAGATTTCGTCAAATGTTCACTACAAAGAGTGACTGTAAAAAGGACGGGGTTTTTCGCCTCTTTTGCGGCCCTCGATTTCGGGATCGATTCATATGCGAATCAACTCCTTACGATAAGATATTAATAGAAAAAAAAGTTTCAACTTGAGGTGACATTTAGTTTTAGAGATGAGAGCTCAAAGTTATACATGAACTCTCTCATATCTCTAAAACTAAAATGTCACCTCAAGTTGAAACTTTTTTTCTATTAATATCTTATCGTAAGGAGTTGATTCGCATATGAATCGATCCCGAAATCGAGGGCCGCAAAAGAGGCGATTTTTACAGTCACTCTTTTTCAGGCAGAAAGACTGCAGATTGCATACAGAAACTGATACATTCGACATGGCCAGGTCTAATAAATAGTCGTGAAATATCTTCTCTAGGTTTAGTCTTAGGCTGATATTACACTTGTCGTACGACGGATATAATACAGGGTGGGGCAATAACTAGGACCTTAAATATCTTCGAATCTATAAGTCCCAGAAGAAGATTTGTGTAACCAAAATTTCACGGTACGAAGGGGGCTATTATAATAGCGATAATATTTTTGTCCAGGTGGAGGCGCTTCGGAGATACCAAGGTCATCTTAATTTTTTTAAATGGATCCGATATGTTTTTTTTCCATAATATGATAGAGGAGCTTGATACAAGTTCAGAACTCACGGCAT